CCAGACTGTGTGCCCCGGGTGCACTGAAGCAAACTGCAAGAGGGTGGCAGCCTTCCTGGGTGAGGCGTGGGGGAACGTGGCAAGGGCTGGAGGGCACCAGCGAGGAGCGGTCAGCAGAGATAGGGGGAGGCTCTTCAGCATATTTTAAACTCACAAGGAAAACAACGATATTCAGCGTCTGCCAGATTCCACGCAAACCACCAGCCTAGCACGACTGCTGAGATGTTGGGGGTGCCACAAATTGAGAAAGTCAGTAAGCCTCTGCCCTTTGTGGCCAAAATACTCCCCAACCCAGGGCCGGATTTTCCTATAGGCTAACTAGGCTTCAGCCTAAGGGCCTCAAGATCAAGAGGGGCCTACATTCAAATTGTTAGCAAAATTAAAATTACATTTTCACTATAGGTGAAAGGGCCTCATAAGTGGAATAGCCTAGGGCCTCTTTTTATCTAAATCCGGCCCTGCCCCAACCCCTCGGTTTCAAGAAAGGTTCTCTAGGCACTGCCTATCTCTGCACACTTCCCAGATCAGGGCCCGAGGTGTGCTAATTTCCGATCGGAAAACAGCGCCCTGAATTTGGAAAGGGGCAGCCGGAGCTGTGCAGGGGACCCCAGCAGCCTCTGCATTGAAGGCAGCCCAGCAGCCGGGCCTTCCCAGAGAGGCCCACGTCCTACCGCCCGCCTGCTCCCCAGGCTCACCGCGGGTAAAGGTCCAGGTAGAACTGGCCGAGGGTCTCTCCGGAGGCCAGGTCCTGCACGGTGTAGAGCTGGACGTCCTCATGCCAGGCCTGGGCATCCTTCTCTCGGCGGAAAGTCAGCCCCAGCAGCTCCTGGTAGATGCCCAGCAGGCCTTCCGTCACCACTTGCATGGGGAAGAACTCCTTCAGCAGGTTCTGGTCCACGCTGTACTGGGTCTCTTCCACCTGGTTCATGTAGTAACGCATGTCCCAGGCGTTGATGCGCCCGTCGAAGGGCAGCGCCCGCTGCTCGCACTCCCTCTGCTTCAGGCCCAGGATCACCGCTCGCTCCTTCTCGCCCAGCGGCTTCAGCTTGGCTGCCAGCTCGTCTGCAGGGAGCCCAGGAGGTGAGCAGAGACCGACCGTCCACCAGTGCTGAGGCTTGGCCCCTCCAGCCTGGCATACGAGGGGAGCCTCTGCCAAAGTTTTCTATGGGGGGGGGGCCACTGCAGCTGAGTCCCACCCACAGACACACGGCCCCTTCCGAATTTCAATTTATAACCTGTTTCCCCTTTACACCCCCCAGGCCTCTGCCCAGCAGCCAGGACCTCCTGGGGTTGCTCTGAGGTGGGAGCCTAGGCATTCCTGGAGAACGGAGCCCTCGGTCCCTGAGCAGCCAAAAGATGCCAAGGCGGGCAAGGCTCCCATCTCTCTGCTGACCGCTCCTGGCTGGTGCCCTCCAGCCTCCCCCATGCCTCACCCAGAAAGGAGGCCACTGTCTTGCACTCCTTGGCCATGTTCATCTCCAGCACAAAGGCCGCGTGGGTATCGAACCCCAGGAGCACCGACTTCTGGGCCCGCAGCTCTACCAGTTGCTGGAGGATCCGGCAGTTCTCCTGTGCCGTTTGTGGGGGGAGCAAGTTTAGCCTCTGGGTGGACCCTCTGCCCCACCAGCGCAGGTGCAGCGAAGGCCTGCCCTCCCCCATACCTCTTTGCACCGGGAGTTGAACCGTTCCTCCATCCGCTTCCGGGTCTCAGGCACATGGCACTTCTTCATCAGGGGAAAGTAATGGGGGTACTTGAGAGTGACCTTCAGCTTGCCATCCTCCGCCTTCTCTAGGGAGCTCAGGAAATCCTCGGGGAGTCCTCCTGAAGGGAAGGAGCCCTGTTAGGGGGGCTGGGCCCCCTACAGCCAAGAGCGCCCACCCACTCAGAGAAACCTGGGACAGGCCCTGCCATGGCTCCGTGATTGATGGTGACGGCAAACTTTTTTCTCACCATGCACGCTGAATGGGTGCAGTTCCCCCCCCCCATCCCCACTGTGTCACTTTGGGTCCTGACCTGTTACAGCTGGGTCAGGAGAAGCGAAGGGAAACGGGCTGCCAGCACTGCAGGGCATGGGTGGAGAAGGAGCGGAAAGAGGAGGGGGAGGAGGAAGAGGACTCGCAAAGGCAGCCCAGCTATATTGCTCTAAACATCTCAGGAGGGGCTGCCGGGCAGAGGGGATGAGAAGTGCCAAGTTGCCTCCGGCAACAGCAGAGATGCCAGGCAACCCCCCCTCCCCACCCATCCAACACTCTTTTTCAGGGCCAGCCTGGCATGGAGGCCACCCACCCTTGGCTCCTGGAGCTGGGAAAAGCCCTCCCTCCCACCCTCAGCAGCACTGGGGCACAGGAGGAAGAGATTCCAGGTCCAAGAAGCGGGTCCAACCTCCCAGAGAGAGAAGGAAGGAAAGAAGAGGAATGAGGAGGGGATTATGGAAATTTTGACAGAAGACAGTCTCTGTCGCTCAGAATTCAACCGAGGCGCCCATGATGTTCTCCGAGCTTGGCTTTTTTTCCAGACGTTTCATTACTGAACTAAATAAGATCATCAGTGCTAGATGGTTGAAGTTTACAAGAGGTTCAATTCACACTGTTGGCTTTACTGATGTAGACGTGTTAAGCTGTGAGGAACCTTCCTTGGACTAATTATCCCTGACAAGGCCGCAACAGGGCTCCCAGCTCTCTCCGAGGGGAAAACATGGCACCCTGGAGGTCACAGCCGAGGGCCAGGCCCGTCCCCACAATGACCGCCAAGCCTCTCCCGCCGCAGCCTCACCCAGCTCCTCCCTGGTAAAAGCCAGGAAAGTGGCGTCTTCGTTGAGGTTTTTGCTGAAGTCGATGCAGAGAACGCTCAGCTTCTTCTTAATCTCCTTGATTTTCTGAGAAAGAGAAGAAACGACGTGAGCAACCCTCCCCCCAGCAGAGATCCACCCCCCCCACCCCCGCAAGGTTCCAAAGCAGCTGCCCTTCCTTAAAAGCCACCTGAGCAGCCTCCCTGCCAGGGATCAGAGGCACAGGCTGAGCCCACCAGGCCTCCTGTCCCTTGCTCTGGGCCAGCCGCTTGCAGGGAGGGCAGCCTCCTCACCTCCTGCACCTCCCCGGCCAGGTGGAGGCCGCTCCGTTGGCCCAGCTTGACCAGCCTCTCCAAGTAGCGCTTGGCTTCTGGCTTCAGGGACGCACCGTCCAGTTTCTCCTGGAGAAGGAAAGGTGTTTCTTTTTTTCTTTTTTTTTTAATTGAAAAGTTTTGTAGAAAATACAAGCATTTTCACCCCCCACCCTTCCCCCCTCCTCCTCCCCACTTTCTGACAGAGCAGCCAACCCCACCCGCCCAGGGCCGCCGGGGCTTCTTTGAGTGCTTGCCAATCTCTGGCCCCAAGGTGTCTGGGGCCGTGATGGCTGCTGACGCGCTGGGCACGAGAAAGGCTGAGAAGGAAGCAGCTAAAAGAGCCACGAGGCCCAGACATTTTGGGGGGGGGAGCGCATGGGGTGGAGATCAGAGCAGGGGTGCCCTCTGAGGCTCCCGCAGAGGCGGCTGCCAGACAGGCTCCATCGCTACAGCCTACGCCTTCTCTGCTGGCTGAGGGCTCTTGTGGCCAGATAACCACCCCGTCCGGCTTTGGCAGGGCAAGTTGGGGCTCCTCCCTGATTCTGCCCGGGGCCAGGGAGGGCCACATGAGGCCCAGAACCAGCAGAGTCGGGCAACTGACCTGCAGCCAGGTGATGCGTTGGTAGACGTCCTGCCGCATGCTGGTTTCCACGTCAAACTCCGAGAGTTGCTTGTCTGCCTCAGTGCTGGCCGTGCGGATCTCCCGGTTGGGGGACACGTGTTGCGGGAAATCCAGCATATTCCGCTGCACTGCAGGGTGGGGGTGCGCTCAGGCTAGGTCGGGGGATCCGCCGGCACCCCTGCCCGACTTACCTTTCTGTCCCCACTAGCGGTCCCTGCCCAGCTGTGTGACCTGCTCCCCAGCCCTCTCCCCCGGCTTCCCTGCCCACGTCCACTAGCGTCCCCTGCCCACCTGTGCTCCGCTCGCCCTCGTGCCTCCCGCCCGGCTTACCTGTTCCTGCCCATTAGCGCCCGCTGCCCACCTGTATACCAGGCACGCTCCCCAGCGGCCCCCGCCCGGCTTCCCTGCCCACGCCCACTGGCACCCGCTGCCCCCTGGGCTCTCCCCCCCTCACCTGTGTAGTCCAGCTCGGCGGCGGCCAGGGCGCGCAGCGTGTTCTGGCAGGAGACCTCCCGGCGCTCGAGGGCGCCCACGGCGTCGTACACCTGCCGGGTGCGGGCGATCAGCTGGGCGGCGGCGCTGCGGATCTGCTCGGCGCCCAGGTCCCATCGAAGGCGGCTGCCGCGGGGCGTCGGGCTCGCCGGGGCGCTTCCTGGCCGGGGGACAAAGCGGGCGCCGTCAGAGCCTCCCCCCCCCCCGGCCCAGCGCCGCCAGGGCGACCGAGAACGACCCCCGCCCCACGGAGAGGGAGGGAGGGAGACCCCGGCCCGCAGTTACCCGTCGGGGGAGCCATGCCGCGTGCTCGCTCTCGGTCGAGGGGAGCCGGACAGACCGGGACCGCCCCCCTGGAGGGCGGAGCTCTCTCCGCCCGCCCCGCCCCCCAGCCCCGCCCAGTGGCGGGATGTTCCGTGGGCCCGGCACTCGGAGGCGAGAGGTAGATGCTCTGCCGGCGTCCCAGGCTCCACGCCCGCGGACCGAGAGCCCCAGGCCCTCCCCTCGTGCGTGCGTCCGTGCGTGCGTGCGTGCGTGGGGAAGGCGGGTCCCGCGTGTCCGGCGTCCACGAGCGAAACGCTCCCTGAACGGGGACTCGGAAGCGAGCTCCGGCAAGCAGCGGCGGCCCCTCTAGCCTTTCCTAGCTCTGGCGAAGGGGGAAGGCGACCTGGAGGCCGGCGACTGGCGGAACTCCGCCCGGCGCGCACGCGCGGCGCCCTGTCCCGCTCGCGCTTGCGCAGACGGCCGGAGGGCGGACAAGGGGCCGAGCACGCCCGCTGCCGCTGCGCTGGGGCGACCGCCGGGGTGAGACGGGAGAAGGAGCCGGTGTGGGGCGGGCCCTTCCGGGTGTCGTGCCGCGCGGCCCCAGCAGGACCCTCCCGCGTCTCTCCCTCCCCCCGCAGGAAGGACCGCCGCCGCCGCCGCCGCCGCCGCCGCCAGGGCCCCGGGCCAGCATGGCGGAGCAGAAGCGCCTGGCCTTCGCCATCATCGAGTTCCTGCAGGGGCAGCTGCAGCACGGCGGGCTCTCCCCGGACGCCCAGGAGAGCCTGGAAGGTGGGAGGGGGGCGGGGCTGCCGGGTCTCCCGAGGGGGCTTCCCGGGGGAGCTGGCGGGCCTGACGGGCCTCTCGCTCTCGCTCTCTCTCTCTCTCCTCCGCCCGCAGTGGCCATCCAGTGCCTGGAGACGGCCTTCGGGGTGTCCGTGGACGACAGGGGCCTGGCCATCTCCCAGAAGCTCCCGGACATTTTTGAAGCCGCTGCGGCCAAAGTGAGCGCTCGGGGGGAGCCTCTCCGAAAGGAGAAAGGGGGGGGGGGGGGGGGAGGGGGAGGGCAACGTCCTTCCTGGGGGGTGGGGGGGCGGGGGGGGTGGGGGGCCTTCACGGGAAGGCATCGGGCGGGGCTGAAGCGGGGGAGGCTCTCTAGGAGGGTCGGGCTGCACAAATGCCCAGGCCCCGTTTGCTTTTTTTTAATTCAAGGGGAAAATTGTAAAAAAATATTAAAACGGCCACCAGCGATCTTCATCCATCTTTGCTTGATGCTAATATGCCCTCGGCTGCAAGGTATAAACTAAGCAGCCTTTGTAGGGAAGGTCCCTGGGCAGGAAGGAAACGCACCCGGCTTTTACTTCCAAGTTTGGGGGGTTTTGTAGTTTTACCTCCCGGCACTAAGAAACCAGATACGTCCACCCCTGACATGGCCGGAGCCTCGGGTGTCGGCGCCCAACTTTTGACACTTGCGGCCTATGGAAGTTGACCTCCTGCCCTTTTGCAAGATCCACTGCAATCAACTGGGTCTGGGGCTGAACTGAATGCATTGTGAAAGAAGCATGTTTAGGATTCCTTAAAACTCCTAAAATGTTGATTGGTCAAAATAAGATACCTAGATTCCCCTCCCGGCTTGTAGGGATTAAATCCCTGCTTCCTTCTCTGTACAATCCATATCTTGTGGATCTTGGGGCCATAATGCAAGAAAAGCAGCTGCTTCTTGAGTAAAACTGGAACCAGACCCCTCCCTCCCACTGCGATCTTACGATAATTATACTAACTTTCAAGTTTCAATCCCTAAGGGATCTGGAAAATAAACGCCAGCAAAAGAAAAAGGTCAAAATTCAAGGCCTGGAAGATCACACGGACAGGCAGCCTTCACGATTAGAGAGCTGTAATTGCTGGGTGTCTCTGCATTGCATAAGGACTCTCCTTATATCCGTCTTTTAAGACCTCTGACAGGGATTGACGGGTTGCTCTTTGGAATGCCTCCCAGGGCCTGACAGACTCTTCCTGTCTTGAAAGGCAGCCGAGACATGGGCTCTGGCTGAGGCACCGCTCCCACCATCTCAGGCAGGAAGAGAATTGGAAGAGGGCATGCAGGACTGGCACCTCTGGTGGGCTGGGCAGCCATCGGCTGCTTGGGGTAGGCCCACCCTTTCCTAACTTGGTGCCCTCCAGCGTGTTAGTAGCAGTTCCCATAACCTCCAGCCAGCATTGCCATTGAAGAAGACTGGTACAGACCTTTGGAGAGGAAGAAGCAGCGCGGCGGAGGTGACTACCAGGGAGGCCATTGCAGGCCCTTCTCTGTCCAGAGATTCTCTTGACAGCCACTCTGACCTTGTGCTTGCCAGAGTGTCCCTCACGCACGAAAACACCCCCCCCCCCGGTGCCTTCTCCCCAACAGGAGCCATTGCAGAGTTGCCCCGTTGCTGAGCCCACCACTCCCTCTGAAGAAGATGCGGCTGAAGCTGAAAGACTGAAAACTGAAGGTGAGCCTGTTGGGGATGGGCGGGTGGAGTTCCTGTTTGTCCTCGGCACCCACGGGAGGGTGGCACAGGCAGCAGGGCACTCCCCAGCACCTGGACAGGGAGCATCAGGAGGGGATTCTGAGAGGACGTCATATTCAAGCCCCAAAGAACAAGAAAGACAGGCTGAGCGGTTCCCTTTATTGCTCCTCGCCTAAAGGCGGAAACCTTGCAAAACTCCAGCGACTGTTTCAATCCTCAAAGGCTTGCTGGGGAGGGGCCTTCTTGGCTCCCTTCCCCCTGAGCAAACTGTCCAAGGTTCTTGCTGCTGCCTTGCCCTCTGGAGTGCAGCCCCCTCCTGGGAACGGAGACTGCATTCTGCCCCAGTCATGCTCCCATTAAAAACTTCGTGGGGGTGGGGGTGGGGCAGAGGAGCCTCCGTGGGCTGTAGCACAAGAGAATCGACAATCCTTGATGGAGGTTGGATTCCTTATTATAGTGCCCTATGCCTCCAGCAATGGGGAGGGGGGGCTTTCCTGCTGTGCCTCCCCCCCCCCCCCCCCGACTGCCCAGCCAGGGCAAGCAAGGTTGCAAATGGAAAACGGGCTTTGGAGGAAGAAAGCCGGCTGGCTGGCAGCCCTGGCACCTTTGGGAGGTGAAGGGAGGAGCCCAGCGTTGCCAGCAGTGGCCCTCCAGGTGAGACCCGGGCGAGGAATCCCCAGAGCGGCTACCAGACAATGCTGAAAGGGGGGTAGCAGGATTGCTCTCTGGCCAAATAAGGCAGCTCATCCCTCGTTTCTTCTTTCTAGGAAATGAGCAGATGAAAGTGGAGAATTTTAAAAGTGCTGTCTCTTTCTACGGAAAAGCCATCGAACTCAACCCGTCCAACGCAGTGTATTACTGCAACCGGTGAGAGAGGGTCTCTGCCTCGGTTCTCCAGCTGTGCTTGCTCCAGCACCTCTGGGAACGGCTGCCTCAAATGGGAGTGGGTGGGTGCCAAGGCCACCCTTGCTTGTGGGTGCTGAAGCGGCAGAGGCCCCCAGGGCTGCCTCTGGTCCAGCTGGAGAGCCTCTCCCAAGGAGCTCCCTCTCCCCCTCAGGGCTGCCGCTTACAGCAAACTCGGAAACTACGCCGGGGCAGTGAGGGACTGTGAGAGAGCCATCGGCATCGACCCCAAATACAGCAAAGCCTATGGCAGGATGGGGTATGTGGGTCCCAGCACTGTCCTTGGACTGGCAGGGGAGGGGCTGCCGACCTTGGGGGGAGACCCTGAGCTTGAGGAAGAAAGGGACCTGCCCCCCTGGGGGACCCTCCTCCATCAGAGGCTGTGGAGAGCCCCTCCCGCTCCTCTCCTCTCCTGCAAAGAGTTTCTCTCTGGCTTCCAGGGAGGGGCGTCGTTGGGTCTTTCCATGGAGTGGCACAAGTTGAATCCTTGTGCAAAGGCGGCAGTGTAAAATTTGGAAGTGCTCCACTCACCGAGCAAAGATGGCCTCAGTGGAGGGAGCAGAGTGCCCACTCCCCTGGGAGTTTGGTGGCCTCTCGCCTGCAGGAGAGCCTGGGGGGTGGGTGGGAAGGAGGCCGCCATTTTTGCCACCCTCTGTTTCCTCTACAGGTTGGCCCTGTCCAGCCTCAACAAGCTCTCGGAGGCCATCTTCTACTACCAGAAGGCACTGGAGCTGGACCCAGAGAATGAAACCTATAAGTCCAACTTGAAAGTCACTGAGCAGAAGATGAAGGAGGCCCCGAGCCCGGTGAGCGGCTGGCTGGCTGGTGAAGACGACCCTGGGGGTGTTGTGAGGCCGGGGAACCCAGCCTCTTTGCCCTCGGTTACCTGGCCTGGGGCCGCTCTGATGTCCCCTTTCCCTGTTTCCCCACAGACGGGCAGCGCTGGAGGGTTTGACCTGGCTGGCTTGCTTAACAACCCCGGCTTCATGAGCATGGTGAGTGTGTGAGCCGGAGGGGCTCTGCTTTGCTGGGTGGGGGGGTTGCTTTATTTATTTATTTATTTATTTTATTTTATTATTAAATTTCTATACCGCCCTTCTCCCTGAGGACTCAGGGCGGTGTACAGCCAGAATTAAAAAACATACAGGACAAATATTAAAAAACAAAAGATATATAAATTTGGCCCAATTAAAACTCACTACCAATTAAAACATTTAAAACATTTAAAAACATTTAAAAATTTCTTCTTAAGCCAGCCCGGCTTGCTTGAAAAAGTGGGTTTTAAGGGCACGACGGAAGGCACTGAGGTCTTGGATTCTCCTTATCTCTGGGGGCAGCTGATTCCAGAGGGTAGGTGCCCCCACACAGAAGGCCCTCCCCCTGGGGGTCACCAGCCTACACTGTTTGGCTGATGGCACCCCGAGGAGCCCCTCTCTGTGGGAGCGCACGGGTCGATGGGAGGTCGTTGGTAGCAGCAGGCGGTCTCGAAGATAGCTAGGCCCTATGCCATGGAGTGCTTTGAAGGTGATAACCAGCACCTTGAAGCGCACCCGGAAGACCACCGGGAGCCAGTGCAGCTCGCGCAGGAGCGGTGTTACATGGGAGCGCCATGCTGCTCCCGTCACTACCCGCGCTGCTGCGTTCTGGACCAGCTGGAGCCTCCGGGTGCTCCTCAAGGGGAGCCCCATGTAGAGAGCGTTGCAGTAGTCAAGGCGAGAGGTGACGAGGGCGTGAGTGACTGTGCACAGGGAATCCCGATCAAGAAAGGGCCACAACTGGCGAATCAGGCGAACCTGACAAAAGGTCCCCCTGGTTACAGCCGTCAGATGTTCCTCCAAAGACAGCTGCATATCCAGGAGGACTCCCAGATTGTGAGCCCTCTCTGTGGGGGCCAGTTGGTCCAGGATGCCGGTTATGCCAGTTGGTCTCAGGATGGCCAGCTGGCTGAGGTGGGTTCCCGAAACGGAGGGCTCAGTTGAGGGCCAGTGAAGCTGCCCGTGTGCGCCCCAAAAGAAGGCAGTTCTCGGCATGGGGCACCGTTTGGGGGCTACGGGCATCAGTCGACCGGTCTCTCCGTGGCACTTGGGCACCTCAGCCGCCGGCTGCCTCAAAGAGCCACTTCCTCCAGATAAAGTTTAAGGATTTTGCCTTGGCAGAGGATTGTGGGAAGTGTAGTCCCGTCATGTCAGGGGCAGTCCAAAAAGGCCAGTGAGGCCTCCGGGCTGCTCTCTGACCAGGTGCCTGAATGGTTCAACTCTGCTGAGTCAGCCATCTCCCTCCCTCCCTTCTGTCCCTCCACAGGCCTCCAACCTGATGAACAACCCGCAGGTGCAGCAACTGTGAGTGCCGCAGGGCTCGTTGGCCTCCTGTCCTTCCGGAAGGATCCGCTCTGGGGGAGGGCCGGTTCAAGGGCTGCGGTTGAACCTTTGGCCCCAAAGGCTGGGAGCTGGGGGGAAAGGGTCCTGACTGAAATCCACCAGGACAGACACCTTTGAATTGAATGCTTTCTCTAAAGAAACGTTTCTTTAAAAAGACTTCCTTCCCCTCCTTGGAAGGCAGTTCAAAGCCAGGAATCTTGGTTAAGATGGGGTTTGATTTTGGCTTAGTGTGTCCTGCCGACCCCTTTGCTCTCTTCTGCCAACCCTGGTTTCCTGGCAGGCCAGCAGCCAAAATCGAGATATCATTAAGATGGCTGCTTACTCTGAAGAAGGGGCTCTGTGGGACCACCCCCAAAATGGAATGGCCAGGAGCCAGTCACTGCAGCCCAGGGAGGGAGGGAGGGAGGGGAGACTCTGCCCCCGCTATCCATGCGGTGGGAGAGGGAGCCTTTCCTGGGGGAGGTTTGACTTGAGCAATCCAAATCGGGTTGGGAGACAGGTGGATTTCTGGAAATCCTCTGACCCGCCCCCCCCGCCCCCATAGCCTTTCCAGAGGCCTTGTGCCCAGTGAAAGGATTTCCTGCCCCTCAGTGGGATTGTTCGGGCCCCAGCAACCCCTTTCAGAACCATGGCTGGGGCCCTGCTGGGGAGCCTCTCCCTGGCCATGTGACTGACTCACGTGGAGGGTCATGGATCACCCCCTCCCTTTTGCAGCATGTCCGGGATGATTTCGAGCAGCCAGAACCCAATGGCCGCCCCGGGAGCCAGCACTGCCCCCCATGATCTCGCCAGTCTCATCCAAGCGTGAGTAGGGGGGCCGCATCTTCACCCCAACGCCCCTATCCTTGTCTTCGGAGCCAGGAGAGCAGCAGCCGGCTTCGCTCCCTTCTTTGCTCCTCTTGCGTCCTTCCCCTTGTGACCCCTCCCCTCCATGGGAGATTTCCCCACAAGCCACTCCTGCAACTGTGGGGGCGTGGAGGCAAAGAGCATACCCCTTCCCTGGGCTTGTGACACTCCAAACAGTTGCTTAAAAAGGCGCAGCCTGAAAACCACGTTGAGGGTACTGTCACAAGCTCTGCTGGTTGCCACAAACAGCATTGTGAGAGCGAAGATGCCGCCCCTTCCGGCACCTGTGGTAAAGTTCTGGGAAGCCACCCAGCTCTCTTACCCTTTGGCTTCCGTCCGGATTCTTCATAGCTGCCCGAGGCCAGAAGCACCAGAGTCTCCGTGTGGTGGGAGGGGACAGGCAGGGGGAATGGCTGCTCCTTTGTGGCCTGCTGACGAGTATGGGTCAGCCTTTCCAAATGACCCCTCAGCCCATTCCTCTCCAAGCTGGTGCCCTAAAGAAGGGTGGCACAGCAGAGCCCTGCCTGCCCGCCCAGTTGGGAGGGTCCCTCCGTGTCCTCCAGGTTGGGAAGCCGGAATCTCAGTAAGAGCCTCCCAGCCCTCCTGTGGGCCACAGGCTCCCCTGTCTTTCCGCCCAGACTCTCTTGGAGTCCTCTGCCTTCCTGTAATCGCAGTCCACGTCCAGCTTTCTGGGAGGGGTGGCTCTTCTGTCATGTCTTCTGGTCTCAAGGCTGAACCTCCCAGCTCTTCCACTGCTCCTTGTAGGACTTGGTTTCCTGTCCCTTTGCTGAGCTGGCCCTGGTTTGTTTGAATCCCAAACGTGACCCAATTCTTGACGTGGGGTCTGAGCAAGGACCTATACAGCAGAATGATGGCGGCCAGCTGGGCTCTGAAGAATTCTGCTGCCCTTGTCCCTGGTAAACTCCATCCTCTTCCTTTTGCCTGACTTGCCTTGCCCATCAAGGTAGCTTCGCATTTCATTCCTACCTTCTACAGCTGTCTGCCCATTTTTGTGTCATCAGCAGATCTATGAAGGACTGGACTTTGATACTCCTCCTGCCTCCCCACCCCCACCCCCAGCCTCTTCCCCAGCTTGAAGAAGAGCGATTGTAAAGTGCTTCCTGAGTAGCTCTTGAGCCGGCTCAGCCTGCCTGGCTACTGTGCTGTCCAATAGGAATCACAGTCCCTGGTTAACCCAGCTGTTTTCTCTCCTGTGATGTCCAGAGGCCAACAGTTTGCTCAGCAGATGCAGCAGCAAAATCCGGAGCTCATAGAACAGCTGCGCAGCCAGATCCGGAGCCGGACCCCCAGCGCCAGCAACGAAGAGCAGCAGGAGTGAGGCAGCTGCCGGTGAGTCTCTCTAAGGCAGTGGTTCTCAACCTTCCTAATGCCGCGACCCTTTAATACAGTTCCTCATGTTGTGGTGACCCCCAACCAGGGGTGGGTTCTAAATTTTTTTACTACCGGTTCTGTGGGCGTGGCTTATTTTGTGGGCGTGGTTTGGAGGTCGCGTGACTGGGTGGGCGTGGCTAGCTGGTCACGTGACCAGGTGGCCATGGCTATGTGTATAGGGACTACTCAGAGGGCTGAAAAAAGTCATTTCTGACAGGTCCTCGCACTTTTGACTGGTCCTCACACTTATGACCATCCTCACATTTATGCCCGTGCAGCATTCTTAACCATGTCACTCATTTCACAGCTGCTTCTTTTCACCATGGTGATAAGATAGGGCAAAACACGTAAAATGTGAGGATAGTCGTAAACTCGAGATCTGGTCAAAAGTGCGAGGACCAGTCAAAAATAACTTTTTCAGCCCTCTGAGTAGTCCATGTGCACAAAAGGACTACCCAGAGGGCTGAAAAAAGTGATTTCTGACAGGTCCTCGCAGTGTTGACCAGTCTTCGCACTTATGACTGGTCATCATTTATGCCCATTGTAGCATTCTTAACAACCGTGTCACTCATTTCACAACTGCTTCTCTTCACCATGGTGACAAGATAGGGTAAAAACGTAAAATGTGAGGACAGTCGTAAGTTCGAGGACTGGTCAAAAGTGCGAGGACCAGTCAAAAATAACTTTCTCAGCCCTCTGAGTAGTCCATATGCATAAAATAGAGAGGGATGAAGGAAGGGAAGGGAGTGAGGGTAAGAGAGGGAGGAAGAGAGGAGGAGAAGGAGAAAGGAAAAGGAAGTAGGGAGGAGAAGAAGGGGAGGAAGAGAAAGTAAGAAGGAAAGAAAAGAGAGAGGTGGTAGGTGTGAGGAGAAAGATTGCTCTACAATAAAAAAGGTGAAAGGGAAGAAAGCCAACCCCAAACAAATATAAAGATATTAAGATAAAGAATGAATTGTTAAACTTTAAAGAATAAAAGAGAACAAATATGAATAAATAACAATAATTAGAAACACACATACAAACATACAATGTATTTTCTTTGAACAGAGTATTTGGCCGGTTCACAAATTTAAACAGTGTTTAGTCATTTCAATTAAATTTACAATTTCTATATTTCCTTTTTGCCATATTTATTCCTCATCTGTTTTTTTAAAAAACCAATATTACCCTTCATCCTCATCTCTAATCTTAATCAAATTCAATTTTTCCCTTTTATTCTATATTATGCCCCTTCCCATTGTCATCTATTTTTATATCCATCCTCACATTGGTTAATTATGTAATATTACAGTTGTTTAATATAAATTCAACATTTTAATATAAATCAATTAGTTATATAACTACCTTTTTTATATATTAATCAATATGAACATGAATACTCCAATTATTTCCATGCAATCCAATTTCTTACAAATCAATTAATTATATTTACCAATAATAATAAACCAAATAATTTCCCCCATATATTCCTCCAAACCACAACTTAACCATTTCTGCTTTCAACAAAATATACATTATTAATAGTATCTCAATTATTACAATTCCCTAGTTAAATAGAGCTTTTTTTCTTTTGTGTTTTAAAATCTTGAACTCTCCTCTTTTTCCCTAAATTTCCCATTGTTTGCACCTCCCTTTTTTGGTGAGGAAAAAGAAAAGAAATCTGCCTGCCTAATTTTCAAATGTTGCAGCAACAGCAAAGCCAACAGCCTGCTTTACTTTCAGTTTCCTTTTTCAGCATAGCTAGGGGAAAAAAAATTGCTCCAGCACTCTCTGCAAACAAGCAGCAGAGCCCTGAGCAAAACAGCTGAGAGCAAATCAGCTGAGAGTCGGGAGCCGATCTAATCAAGGGCTAATTAGCCTATGCTGAAGCTTCGCAGGCCAATAAAATTACAAAAAAACACCGAACCATTTGTTAAATTGCTGGCTCGCCTGCCCCTTGCCCACTACTATTTATTGGCAATAAATAGTGGTGCGGAGGGGCGCAGCAGAATCCCACCACTGGCTATAGGGCGGCCCTTTGAAGCCCTGCGGCAAGAATTTAAACAGTTTTTTTTCCCTCTAGCCATCAGCTGGGACTCAGGAGGCAACAATAGATTGGGAGTGGGCGGGGTAAGCGAACGGGCCGGCGATTCAACAGAGCAGAGAGTGAGGGTGAGTGAAGGTGTGTGGGGGGCGAGAGAGGACTTTGGCAACCCCTGTGAAATGGCCGTTCGACCCCCAAAGGGGTCGTGACCCCAAGGTTGAGAACCGCTGCTCTAAGGGAAGGTGCGAATGGCCTCAGGGAAAAGACTTAGCAGAGGAAGAAACTTAGGAAGGACTCAAGCGATTACAAGGCCCTTTGCAGTTGCTAGATTCAGCTCAGCTCTCCCTGGTAAATCAGATGGGAAATAATAATAATAATAACTACTACTACTATTACTACTATTACTATATTGTCATTGTACGGGTATATACAGTATACCCATACAACGAAATACAACCAGATGAGCTGAATCTGCTTGAATTGTGGGCTGCATTAACAAAATCCCACATGTCTGAAGGCACTAATTTCCCCCTGCTGCTTTTGATTGCTTGGCCCATTAGGACTGGTCTTTCCTTCGTTTCTTCTGACCATCGTCTGATTTTTTCCTAGGCAGCATCTCTTCCCCTCTTTCTCTAAGATCATTCACAAATTACTTTCTCTCTTTCTCTCTCTCTCTCTCTCTCCTCCTCCTCCTCCTCCCCACCCCACCCCCCATTTTGTGGGTGATTTACTTTTGCAGCAGGCCCAAAGGGCAGGAAGGCGCAGGGAGGGCCAGTGGCTGGAATGGGGCCACTTGCTGTGGGAGGGAAGCATCTTGAAGGGAAACCCATGGAAGGACTCTGAGGGGAGACTGCAGTCTGCCCCATGAAGTTGGAGACCATCCCTCGGGATGAAAAGGACCAAGGAAAGAGGCCTGAGGCACGGAGTGGAGACACTGGCAGGGAGGGCAGCCACCTGGCGCCTTGATCAGATGCTCCATAGCTTCAATGGCCGGGGGTCTTCCTGGAATAGTTTGCATTGCATGTGATGGGCTGCCCAGTGAATGGATGCCAGGCGGGTTGACTTAGGTGGCAGCTGAAAGGCCCCGATGTCCAACCCCCATTCAGGGCAGGAATGCATAGGGAAGCCTCCTTGGTGAATGGCAGTCTATCGAGGCTGGGGGAGCAACCAGAGCTTGCCTGCCCTTGTCCTCTGTAGAAGCAGCAAGGCAGTGAAGCCATCCGCTCCTGGACAAGATCTGCTTATGTTTTTCTCCGTCTTTCAGGATGACTCTGCTCCTGGTCAGGAAGACCCCTTTTGCCCCAAGGGAAGGACCAGCTGAAGAGCCTTCGAGCTGCTGCTGCCACCAGCCCAGCCGTTCCTCCATTGGAAAAGCCCATGAGGGATTTGGGGGGGAAGGGGAACCAAGCCTGATCCGGCCTGCATGTTAGAGACTGTTTTGCGTAGCTTCCCCTCCCTGCTTCCTCCCCACCTTACTCCCTCGTGGACTTTGCCAGGGGGAGGAGAGTTACTGACCACAAGTCAGCATCTACCCCCACCCCCACCCCCACCTTGGACCTCTAAGGCAAGCTGTGGGGCTGTCAACACCATGCCTTTCCTGTTGCTCAGAAGAACAAACCCACCTACCCCCGAGACTGCGCCATCCTCCAGCAGGGAGAGTCGCCTTTTCCAAGCCAGGATTTCCTCCTCCTCACCATTGCTGGATCCTGGCACACCAAGGCTTGATGGCCCCTCTAGGGGAGAGGCCCAGTTGACTGGCTAGGACTGGCATCGGTGCCCGGGAAAGATGGGAGGGATCTCCTCTGCTTTTCAGTAGGACCTTTATTTTTAAGAAGGATCGTGGCTAAACTGGTGTGACTTTTCTGTGAGTGGGTCAGGAGCTGCTTTTGAAAATTTCATTTCTGGGGAACTTGCCTGGCTGGACTGGCTAACAGGGCATTACCTGCCCAGCATGAAGGGTGCCAAGAGGACGTGGCCGCCTGACTGGGATTGGGCCAAGCACAGCAGCTCCTTCCTGAAACGCGCTCCTTGTGTCCAGGACTCCCCTTAGCATTGGGTGTCTAGAGTGTAGCTCTCACCCGTGGTGGTGCCTCCCGGAGGGTATTTGGCTGCTCTCATTTGAACCTCTTGAATCTCCCAGATTCCCACCAGCCAGCAGGATGGGTCAGATGGTAGCCCAAGGACCTTTGGGGTGGGGGGGGGAGGGTCACTTGCCTTCAGTGCCATCTGTCAGAAGCCCCCTAGAGACTAGCCTGCCCTGCTTCACCCAGGTGCCCCTTTGCTGGCCGGCCAGGGGCTCTGGAAAGAAAAGCAATGGTCCCGGGAGCCTTCTGGTGCCCTCCTGGTCAGCCCAGATGTGCAGCCCCACTGGCTGCCAGGGGCAGAGCCTTGTCAAGTGCCTCTGATTTCTCATCTGGCCATTGCCAGGGGCTGCAGAAACCATCTTGTGGAACGGCTGGGCACTGGGGCAGATGCAGATTTTAGGGCAACAAAGTAGGAAGAGGGGTGGGGGGTTGAAGTCCTACCCATGGCCCCTTCCATGGGTGCCAGGAGGGGGAAGCTGCCAGGCTAGAAGGGTAAGTAATCCCAGGGGTGGGGGGGGGAGGGAGCCCAGGGTGCTTCCAATAAGCAAGGAGGGGCTGAAGAATCAACGTCTGTCTCCAGCAATGGCTTTTCTTTGATGTAGGAAATAAAACTACTTTGGACACTGTCGGCTGGTACCTTGGAGGTCAAGGGGGGAAGTGGGTACACCCCCCAAAGCGGCTGCTGGAGGGAAGGTGGGGGGGCGGGGCCTGAGAGCTGCCAAAGGGTTTGTGGGGGGAGGCAGCCCACCCCGCCCAAAGGGACTCGGGGGGGGGGGGCGCTTTGGGGCGCGTTTTTTGGCCTTGGCGGGGGGACCGGGGGGGGGCCCGCGGGGGGCCGGGGGGCGGGGGGGGGGTTCGTGGGGGGGGGCACCCCCCCCCCCCGAAGGGGGGGGGGGGGGGGGGGTCGCTTTGTGGCACGTTTTTCGGCCTTGGCGAGGAGACCGGCGGGAGCCAGCCGAGGTTCTGGGGCTGGAGGAGCGATTCCTGCGGGGAGCCTGGGCGGCCCCTCGTGCAGGTTCTCCATGACCCGCGAAAGTGTCTGGTGGACCGACCTTCGGGCATGACCCCCCCACCCCCACCCCAGAGGTCCTGCCAGCAAGACGGGCCCTCACCTGGGGGAGGGGGAACTTCCTGGCGCCCCGGAACCACCTCCCGGGAGGCGCGTTCCGCCCGGCCGCCTTTCCGGCGCGCACCGAGGGCGGCCCTTCCCTCCAATGAGCGTCGCCGTGACGTCACCGGCCGAAGCGGCGGGGAGTCGCCCTGCGCGGGAGGGGCGTCCCGGGCCCCCTCGGCGGAGGCTCCTCGGGGCAGCCATGGAGGTGGTGGCGGCGAAGGTGCTGTGCCTGCTGGGCACGCTGGCGCTGATGCTGGCCGGCGCCCTGTTGCCGGTGAAGGTGCTGGAGGCGGACCCCGAGCGGGCTCAGCGCTCCCGGCGGGCCCTCGGCCTCTGCAACGCGCTGGGCGGCGGCGTCTTCCTGGCCACCTGCTTCAACGCGCTGCTCCCGGCCGTGCGCGAGAAGGTAGGGGGGGGCCCCCGGGTCATCCAGCCCACCCCCCGCCCCGCTTGGCCCTAGGCAGCGCAGGGAGCTCGGGGCCCCCGCCCCCCGCCCCCCCCCCCCCCCAAACAAGGGGCTTCCTCGCCTCCTTCCCAAACTGGGTCCGGCTGCGGTGCGGCATCGGTTTGGCGGGAGGAGGAGGAGGAGGAGGAGCCGAGGCCTTCGGGCTGCCTGCCTGCCTGCCGGAGAGCTCGGCTTCTCAGCCGCTGACTTTGCTGGCCTCGGTCCGTTTGATCGGGATCGTCCTGGGCCTTTTCCCCCCCCCCCCCACCTCCCAGGGACGTTCTCTCCCTCCCCACCCCCACCCCCCAACGAGCGTGGAGCTGCCCTGTAGGAACTTCCCCCAGGCATTAAATGATTGACAGGATCCCCCTTAATCTCCTCTTAACCAAAAAGCCCCCGGCCGCCCCTTTCCTCCACAGCGGTCCCTCCTCTGCTCTCTCCCTCTCTCCGCATGGCAACAATTGCACTTCCAAGCATCTATTTGGGAAACTTCCCTTTGAAGGATTTCTGGCTCCTGAATCAAGGAAGCCTTCTCTCCACCGGTTGACATGGGCCCTCCCGGGAGGGACCCAGTTTGCACGTCTAGCAATTTCTCTTCCTGCCTGGTCCTGATCCCCCCACTTCCCCGGCTCGTCCCTCCTTGGCTTTATGATCAGAGTTAGGAGACCCCTAGCTCTGGCAACAGAGACGGTCACAGAGCCTGGGGCTGGGGGCTTGGAGGGCTGCTTCCCTCCTGCTGCCCTCCGCCCATCCATGCTCTGCTTCTCCTCTCCATTGCCCCTCTCTTTGGCTTGACGGCCTGCAGCCCAGTCTCCCCACCAGAGCTTCCCCATTCGGCCAGGACATCCCTGCAAGTTAAGATTAGATCCAGGGAACAGATTCCTTCTTTGGCCTAATAGAAAATGAATCGAGGGTTCTGAGAAATTCAGTGAATGATTGCGCCCATCTTCTGCTTCCCATACCCATCCTTTTCAAGTCTTTGTATTTAAACTCAACTGTTTCCCAAGCCGGCCGTTTTAGTGCAGTCTGAGAAGTCCTTGGCCTCCTGTGCTCTCCTCTTCCTGAAGATTTCTGCAGAGCCCAAAATGTGGAGAGGGAGGGGTCTGGAGCAGTTCTGAATGCAGGCCCCCTCCCCCCTCATATGAGGGCTGTGGAGGTCTCAGCAGGTGAACAGAATTTGGATTATCGGCTTCTGTTTTACAGCTCCAGGAGGTTTTGAAACTTGGGAATGTGACCACGGATTACCCTCTGGCAGAGACCATCATGATGCTGGGCTTTTTCATGACTGTGTTTGTGGAGCAGCTGGTCTTGACCTTCCGGAAGGAGAAGCCGTCCTTCATTGACCTGGAGACCTTCAATGCCGGCTCAGATGTGGGCAGCGACTCCGAGTACGAGAGCCCCTTCATCGAGCCTTCCTGGGGGCACAGCCACCGGGCCGACCGTGGCCGCCACAGCCATGGGCTGGCCATCTACGAGCTCTCACGTTCCAGCCCCCTGCGGCTCTTCAGCCTGGTCTTTGCCTTGTCTGCCCACTCCATTTTTGAAGGCCTGGCCCTAGGCCTGCAGGAGGAGGGCGACAGAGTCATGAGCCTCTTCCTGGGGGTGGCCATCCACGAGACTCTCGTGGCTGTGGCCCTGGGGATCAACATGGCCAAAACCGGGCTGAAGATCAAGGAGGCGTCCAAGCTGGCTGCTGCTGTCAGCTTGATGATCCCCCTGGGCATCGGCATTGGCATGGGCATCGAGAGCGCCCAGAACGTGGCCAGCAGTGTAGCCTCAGTCATCCTGCAAGGAATTGCCGGGGGTACCTTCCTCTTCGTCACTTTCTTTGAGATCCTGGCCAAGGAGCTGGAGGACAAGAATGACCGGTTGCTCAAAGTCCTCTTCCTGCTTCTGGGTTATGCGGCCCTGGCTGGGCTTGTGTTCTTCAAGTGGTGAGGGGCCTCCATTTGTTGTCCCAGGGATGGGTCGGGACCCTCCTACGCATGGCCGGAGGAGAGCCAGGCAGGAGAGGACGGGTGACAGTGACAGTGACAGTGTGCTGGGCTTTTCCCCATATCCGTGGGGGCAGGGGGTGGAAGACCTGGGAAGACTGTGTCCATTTCAGCCGGGGGTTTTGCCCAAGACATTGAAGACAACCTGGCACGGCACTTGAGGGATCCACTTTGCCCTCAGGCAGGCACAAGGGGTGAATTGGGGGGAGGCTCTGCCCTCTAACTGAAGGATAGGGCAGGTTTCCTAACACCTCCCCCTCCCCACTTCTCCCCCTCTTCTCTTGGGAAAATATTTGTCTTAGCCTGGCACTGCCGGTTCATTTCCTGAAAGTTGGTCTCCTCCCACCAGGAGATTATTTGACACCTGGTGTTGTCACGGCTTCAGCTACCTGCTGGGGATTTTCTTGTGTTTTTGGTTTGGACCAACCCTTGGAATTCGGAAATGGGCTGAGAGTCTGGCTGCCCACAAGGCCCAATGTCATCCCCAGCTTCCTCAGTTTCTCCAAGCAGAGGTCCTGCCCTTCAGAACCGCGAGGGTTTTCGCTCTTCCAGCGGGGGCGGGGCTTGCTCTGGGGTGGCCCGGGGCCAATTGTCTACTTCAGGATACTTTTTTTTTTATCCAACTTGAAGCTCCTTGTTTGATTCTGTGTATGAGTGTGAGAGAGGGCCAGATTTGAACAACGTCATTGAGGAACAAAGATTTCCAGGTGTATCTAGGCATTTTTGGGGTCCTCGGAATGTGGCAGGGCTGAAATACTTGCTGGCTCCCCATGTCTGTCTGCAGCAGAGGCCACAAGAACTGCCTGCCTGGATGGGTCCGTCTCCTTCGCAGGCAGACAGCAGAGACCAGGTGGGTCCCCTCTGGCGACCTCACGGTTGCAGCTTCTGCTGGCAGAGTGTTGGCCCTGTCGCTGGACTGTCTTGTTGGCTTCTTTGCCAAGCTGTCAGTCCAGGCCCTCCATCAGGGCAAGGCAAAGCTGGTGCCTGGCCTGCCTCTCCTGCTTCTGTAGCGAAGAGACTGCCGATGCCTGCTGGGGCTCTAGCTCAGGGACCACCCCAGCCATTGTCACTCCAAGGACAGGCCTTCCTCCCTTTGGGCTCTGGAGAACGGATCTCTCCTCCTCTAAGCCTCAGGCAAAGCAGAGCTGGACTTCCTGCCCCACTGGGGGGGGCGGGGGGTGCAGGCTGTTAGAACCAGGAAGCTGTATGGGGGGGAGGCGGCGATGGAGGGCCACGCACCACACTCCTGCTGATCATTTGGCTAAGGGGATGTGGTTAGGGGAGTCGCCTCTTCTTTTCTCCCCCTTGGCTACAGCTGGGACCCAAAATAGCACCCCTGGCTGGCTGGGTACAAGTGGGCATCTTCCTCCCCAATTGTGGCATCAGCCTGGATGCTGGCAAGGCTTCCTGAGGCCTCAAAGCTGGCGGGAAGAAGTGGTCTGCTTGTGGGCTTGTGTGTGCGCGTGCATTATTTATTGCATTCTTGCTCTGGGATAGGATCACACCCATCTGGTTGGGTGGTTTTGTTACACTTACGTTAATCTCCATTGTGCTAAAATAGTCAGTCTTTGCAGGCTGAAATAAACCTCCTTTATTGTCCCTTTTGTGACTCTGTCTATTGTGGGCAAACCAAGCCACACGGGGGGAGCTGGTGCCCTCCTTTTTGTGGGCAAAATGCTGTCCAGAGTCTCAAAAGCTTCTTGTCTGGGCAGGAGGTGGCCGTCAGCAGGGACGAGCAAAGAGAAGCTCAGCCTAGTTTTGGCTTCCTGACTCCTGGATGGCCTTTCCTCTCCCATCTCATGACGGAGATTCTGCTCCTCCCACTTCCTAGAGGGAGCTGTGGGCCAGCCCTGCCCAGTGTTAGGGGCCTCGGCACCTGGCTTGGCCAGTCTGAGTGCCCAGCATACCACCCGGCTGGTGTCCCTTTGCAGCTTTCTTCCCTCTGGGGAGCTGCTTCCTGTGCCCCTCTGCCTGCTGCTGGCCTTGTCCAATCATCGGGGCCTCTTCCAGTGTTGCCCTGCACTGTGTGATGCATTGGGAGAGGATTCAGCCCATGGCACTTGGCACCTGGCAAGACGTGGAGTTGAGAGGGGGGACATTTGCAGATGAGGGCCTGGCTGACTTCTTGGCCCTGAGGAGTGGGGGAGGGGCACGGCTAAGTGCAGGGTGCTAGTGGAGTTTCCTTGCAGAGGTTCCTCATGCTCCTTCCTGTCCTCAGCCTTACCTGGGCTGACCTGATCCGAGTCTCTTGCCTCATCTGAAGATCTCCCTGCCCTTGAACCTCATATGGGTCCAAGGGAGCCTCCCCAGAAGAATCCACAGGAAAAGGGGCTTTTGATAATCTGGGGGGAGAGACGTCCGACACTCGGTGCAAGTAGGGGGGCCCAGGACATTCCTGCAAGGGAGGAAGCCGAACGCGCTCTGGACCAGGCTTGCCTTGGAGTCCTGGCTGTGGCAGCACTTCCCCATTTGAGGCTGCGCCGTGACCTGGGGGGTCACCGGTGGCAGCTGCGGCCAAGAAGGTCTTTGCACGGCTCCAACACACATACCAGTGGTGCCCCTTTCTGTGTCAGGAGGCCCTCCGCACAGTCGTACGATGGGCAGCCCACAACTTGACTATTGTAGGGTGCTGTATTTGGGGCTGCCCTTGAAGACCACTTGGAATACCACTATAGCTCAGGGGTGTCAAACCGGATCGCATTGGAATGTTTTTTGCCCTGACAGAGCTGGGATGGGTGTGGCCTGCATGGCCTGTATTCAGCCAGTTCTACATGCCTGCTCTAGCTGGTCTAGAATACGGGGTGCAAGTGGAGATGGGACATGCTGTGAGATGCGTCCAGAGCTGCATAGGCTGCCATTTGTCCTTGAAGCAGTTTAAGGGGCTGCAGAGAGTAAGGGGGGAGGGAGAGGAGGGAAGGGAAGGACATCTCAAATTCTTTGAGCTATTTTTTTTTTAAATTTGATTTATATGCCGCCCTTCTCCGGAGACTCAGGGCAGCTTACAATGCGTTAAGCAATAGCCTTCATACTTTTGTATATTTATACAAAGTCAGCTTATTGCCCCCACAAACTGGGTCCTCATTTCACCTACCTTAGAAAGGATGGAAGGCTGAGTCAACCTTGAGCCTGGTGAGATTCGAACTTAGAGTAATTGCAGACAGCTGGTGTTATGCTATGGGCAGGCTTTTGCTCCACCAGGGACCCCTCCAGGCACACGGCTGTGAATCATCCACAAGTGGAGCTGTAAACAAGTCAGTGGGGAGGGGAGTTGTAAAGTGGGCAACAGAGCGAAACCCTCTGCACTGAGACCGTGGGGGGATGGGAGGGCTCTGGCCGTCAGTTGAAGAGACCTGGGGTGGGGGCAGGGATGAGAAAGGAAGGAAGAGGGTCAAGAGGGAGATCTGAGCCCACCCAGTGAAGGAAGCGGGTCTCTGCTAATCGGGTTGGGGGTGAAACCAAACATGGGGAGATTGGCATCAAATCATCTTTCCAGCTCTCCTGGCATCCTTCTTGGTTTGTCTGTCCCAGAAGAAGCCTCGCACGACGAAAGAGCCGGCGGCAGGCAGACAGCTGCCCAGGCATCAGCCACTTCCAAGAGGGGAGTCTCAAGATATTTTGTGGTGACCAAAACTGGATGCAATAAGTATGGTCTTACCAAGATATTGTAAAGTGATACTGAAACTTCAGGTGATCTTGGTTCTATTCCTCTATTAATGCAGCCTAGGACTGCATTGGCTTTTTCGGCGGCTGCTATAGACAGCTGGCTCATATTTAACTAATTGTGCAGTAGGACTCCAGGATCCTTCCCACCATGACTACTATTGAGCTAGGTACCCACCTATTCTATATCCCAAAGTTGCTTTTTCAAAAGGCGACTGGACTTTCTGCTTTTCCTTTGAAGGAGTTTTGCTTGTCATCCAAGAAGCTTCTTCAGAGCTTTGGGACAACCATGACCTGGATGACTGGGAATCTCCATAGGCACCTCTTCTATACCTGTACATTTGGTTTTTCTTGCATATGTATTAAACCTTTCCTTATTACTGATTTTCATTTTACTAAATAAGTTCAAGTCTCTCAAGATCCTCTGGATCGTGAGCATAGCTTGGAGTCATCTGCAAATTTGATGAGTTACCCTTCTTTTCCTCTAAATCGCGTACGAAGATATTGAAGAGTCCTGGGCCTGAGACAGACGTTTGGGATCTGCCATTACCTGCTGGCATGTGGACGTAGTTGCACTGAGGACTACTCATGGAATAAGGTTGGTCAGCCAGTCACAAACCCATCTGGTGGTGATGCTGTCTAACCCACATTTTTCTAATTTACTAAGAAATACTGGTCTGGAAAAGAGCTGATGTGGTTTCCATCTTCAAAAAAGGGGGAAAAAACAGATCCAGGAAACTACAGACCAATGAGTAACCATACTCAACGAGTAGTCCTTTATGGGTCTAAGTCTACATGGAGAGAAGTAAGCAGTGGGGTGCCACAAGGTTCCGTCTTAGGCCCAGGACTCTTCAATATCTTCATAAACGACTTAGATGAGGGAATAGAAGGGGAACTCACCAAATTTGCAGATGATACTAAGCTGGCAGGAATAGCTGACACCCAAGAAGATAGGCTCAGGGTCCAGACGGATCTCGACAGACTTGAACACTGGGCCCTATTTAACAAACAGAAATTCAATGTAGAGAAAAGTAAAGTCTTGCCTACGCTTAGGCAAGAAAAATCAAAAGCACACATATAGACTGGGTGAAACCAGACTTAATAGCAGTGACTGTGAGAGGGATCTTGGAGTCTTAGAGGACAACCAGCTAAATGTAAACTAACAGTGTTCAGTGGCAGCCAAAAAAGCCAATGCAATCCTAAATTGCATTAACAAAGGGATACAATCAAGATCAAGGGAGGTACTAATACCACTCTATAAAGCAGGGGTGAAATGCTCCTGGTTCGGATTGGATCGCCTGATCTGATAGCGATGGCGGCAGGTGGTTCGGAGAACCGGTAGCAAAAATCCCTGCCTCCCCCCCATGTCCAGCTGAGCTGCGCGATCATCAGAGGCTTTTTGTTTACTTTTTGAAGCATTTTTTCTACAACCTCTTCGGCTGAAAAAATGCTTTTAAAATAAAAAATAAAAAGCTTCTGATGATTGTGCAGTTCAGTTGGGATCGTCAGAGGCTTTTTTTAAAAAAATGCTTTTAAAAGCCTCTGACAATCCCAGCTGAGCTGCCTTAAGGTTGTAGAAAAAATGCTTTTAAGAGAAAAAAAAAGTTGGCCACGCCCACCCAGTCACATTACACCCCCCCCAAAGCCATGCTCACAGAATCAGTAGTAATAAATTTTACATTTCACCACTGCTAGTAAGACCACACCTAGAGTACTACATCCTGTTTTGGTCACCACATTATAAAAAAGAGGTTGAGATTCTAGAAAAAGTGCAAAGAAGAGCAACCAGGATGATGAGGGGACTGGAGACTAAAACATATGAAGAACGGTTGCAGGAACTGGACCTGGCTAGTCTAGTGAAGAGAAGGACCAGGGGAGACAGGAGAGCAGTCTTCCAATATTTGAGAGGCTGCCACAGAGAGGAGGGGGCCAAGCTGTTTTCCAAAGCACCTGAAGGCCAGACAAGGACTAATGGATGGAAACTGAACAAGGAGAGATTCAATCTAGAAATGACAGAACAATCAGCCAATGGAACAGAAGTTGCCTTCGGAAGCTGTGGGAGCTTCATCACTTGAGACTTTCAAGAGAAGACTGGGCTGCCATTTGTCAGAAATGGAGTAGGGTCTCCTGCTTGAGCGGTGGTGGTGGTGTTATAGATGATCTATAAGGTCTCTTTCAACTCTGTTAATCTGAATCTGAAAAAAAAGTAGGTTGTGGTCTATTTTGTCAAATGCCTTGTTGAAATCTAAGTATACTATATCCACAGCATTTTGCTGGTCCACTAATTTAGTCATTTTGTCATGAAATAAGATTGGTTTGGCATGATCTCCTTTTGACAAACCCATGTTGGCTTCTGGTTGAAACTTTGCTTGCTTCTGTTGCCTGATTTCCAGGATCTTCCAGAGTATTGGACTGTAGTTTCCTGGATCCATTTTTTCTCCTTTTTTAAAGATGGGAAGCACATCAGCTCTTTTCCCGTTCCCAGGCTCCACATCTGTCAGTGACAGTCCCTTCAGACCTCTGGCATGTAATCCATCTGGTCCTGGTGATTTGAACTCGCCTAGGGAGAACAGGTGTTCTCTTACCATTTTCTAGCCTATTTTAATTTGCATCCCTATTCTGTCTTATGGTTTTGTTTTTGGTAGTTTGGAATGTTTTTGTTCCTTTTGCATGAAGACAGATGCAAAGAATGAATTAAGTAGCTCTGGTTTCTCCCTGCTGCTCATCAGTTCCTTGCTATCTTCTCCCATTAGTGGACCAGTTATTTCCTTGACTTTTTTCTTGTTACATGTTGAAACCTTATTATAATTTTTGACATTGGTGGCTAGTTCATTCTGAGCCTTTTATAAATAAGGGGATCGCATGCACACACACACACACACCAATTTTCCAATTCCACACCATCCCATTGCGCAGAGTTGTGTCCTGGGTATCACTTCCTGGTTTCCTTACAGATTCTTCAACAACCAGAATTGGTGGCCTGGCACACACCCCAATTTTAAAGGTTGATCAGTACTTGTGGGTCAATAGTTCCCCCTTTCCATCAGATGCCAACAGTAGGATCTCAGGTGGCCCTGCCTCTCTGGAATCCGGGTTTGGGGGGCATCTAAGAGCCTTGGTGGACTAAGTGCTGTTATGTAGCACTTAGCTGCCAGCTGCCTGCAATTAGTGCGAGTTCAAATCTCACCAGGCTCAAGGTTGACTCAGCCTTCCATCCTTCCGAGGTAGGTAAATTGAGGACCTGGATTGTGGGGGCAATAAGCTGACTTTGTAGAAACACCGCATATGAGGGGGGGCAAAAGCCCTAATAAGTAGGTATATACAAAAAGAATGAAGGCTATTGCTATAAGTGCATTGTAAGCCGCCCTGAGTCTTCGGAGGAGGGTGGCATATAAATTGAACTAATAAATAAATAACTAATAAATCTTGCGGATTTGGGCCACAAATCTTGGCATCTGGGGCAAAGGCAGGGCTTGCCAGTTTGGAGCTGATCTCTGCCGGGGAGAGACGAAAAAGGCAGGCAAAGCTTCTGCAGGCTTCGGCGGGGAGAGGTTGCTCCCTTCCGGCCCCCTTCTGCTCTCTGCGGGCATCCAGGGCGCCTGGTCGCTGTCCTCGGAGTGTCTCCTTTTTCTGCAAGGCAGGCGCTGCCTTTCTCAAGGGCTGAGGGCCCCACTCTGGCCAGGCTAAGGCGGAGGAGGCCGGCGACGGGCGGGGTCTTCAATTGCTGGCGAAAACGGTCGGGCGGCTGGGGGTTCCAGCCAATTCTGCCCGGGCCGCTCTTCGCCGGGTCCGGAGGGGCTTTGGGCGAGGGAGGCGGGAGGCGCTTGTCCGCTCAACGGCCGCTGCTCCACATCTCGCCCAAGCCTGGAAGGAGCCCCGGCCGCGCCTCGCTCCCAAGCGCGCCGCCGCAGCGTGGAGCCGCAAGAGCAGGCGGGGAAAGCCCCTCCGAGGAGCGGAGGCGGCGGGACCGCGGCGGACTCGCTAGCCGAGGGAGCGCTGCAGGAGCCGCGGCCACGCCAGCAAGCGCCTCCCCGTTCTGCCGTGTGGCAGCGACGTTCACACGTGACGCGCACCCCTCCTCTCCCCCCCCCCGACGCAGCAGCAGCATCTCTGCTATCGCCGCCGCAGCAACAGCCGCCGCCGCGACCTCCTCCCGCGCCCGCACGGAGCGCGGTCCCCGGATGGCTGCTTGTCGTCCCGGTCGACTCCGCGCTTCCAGGGCAGGCTGAGTCCCTTCCCGCGCCAGGTAAGACCCAGGAAGGCGCGGCGGGGAGAGGGCTGTGATGCGGTGAGGTTTTGCGTCGGGACCCCCGAGGGACCGCAGATCCTCCGCTGCGACGGGGGGGGGGGCGAGACAGCGCTCGGGACCTTCCAGGCCGGGAACTGCAGCGGCAGTGGCACTGCTGGACCCCCGGGCGGGCCCACCGCTTTCTCCTCGGCTCCCTCCTCCCCTCCCCGCACCCAGCGCAGCGGCCGGCCTGACTTAGCGGAGCGCTGGGAAGGAAGAGCGGAGCAGGGGCGGACAGGGCTTTCTTGAGTCCCGGGAAAGCCGCCGCCTTCCCTGCCCCGCACTCCGTCCCCGAGTTCCCGGGGGAAGGTTGCAAGCGGGCGGAAAGGCGCGGGGCTCCGGGATGCTCCTGCCGCGGAGCCCCCGCCGCTCCTTGCGCGCTGCACTTTGCCGGCCGAGCCGCGACTCTCTGCTCCGCCAGCCGCCTGAGAAGTAGCGCCTCTCCGCCACCTTGTTGCTGCCGTCGCCGCCTCCTCACCGGCCACCAGGTAGGGCCCGGCCTGCGTCAGTGGCTCCGTGGTAGAGTCCCACCGGAGGGAGGCGGCGCGGCCCCTGGCGCGATCTTGCTGCCTTTCGCCAGCTCGGAGTCCGGGATCTGCTGGGGGAGGAGGGGGGGGAACCAATTGAGTTCCACATTGCGGGACGTCGCCCTCTGTGACCCGCTGGGCGGCAGAGGAGGAGGAGGAGGCGTTTTGCCTACTCACTCCCACACCGTGTCCCCCACCCCCCACTCCGCTGGGCTGGGACTAGAACTGCCAGAATTCACCCCCAGCCTTGCCACTCAGGTCCCCACCCTGCCTGTTATGCCCATCCTCAGCCTACCTATCTATGCCTGCTTTTTCCCCAGTCTGCTCCCCCCATCCTTGGTATCAAGAGAAGGGAAGGTGAGGTGGTCTCCCTCCCCCTTCTTCTCCTCCAAGAACCTCTGAGCTGTGTCTGGGGAGCCCCTGGTGGTGGCCCATCCCCCACCCCCTGATGCTTGGAGACCATCTGCCTGGAGGGGGGGGACATAGATGGAGTTCTTGGCATTGTGGGCTGGATCCCAAAGTTCTTCCTCAATTGTTTATTTGTCAATTTTATATCACCACCCCTCTCACATCAAGGGACTGTGTGGTGCTCAATAAACCTACTTGCAAAAACAAAAGCAATTAAAACAATAAACATAAGATAAAAAACAAGACTGTGAAATCATCCACGTCTTCCTCCTGTCACCTCCCCCCCCACTTTATTTAATCCGTCAACCAGAGTTCTCCCCACCCGCCTTTTGAGAAAGCTGAGAGGGCCCCAGAGTTTGGAAACTGTTTGGAAGCCCCACAGAGAAAGGAGTTTGAGGGTGCATCTCCCCCCATTACCCCCAAACCCTCCCTTTGGCTCATTGCCCTCCTTCCTGAGTCCCAAGTGGTGATGATGGGGTGAAAACCTGACTGGCTCTAGAGAGTGACCGGAGGAAGCCGGTGCCAGGCCTGGTGGGCTCCAGGGCCTCCTTGCCAACAGAGGCTGCCAGGTGCCATTGCTTGGATATGGCTAGAGAAACCCTTTATCCCAGAGGCCACCTGGCTCTCTTCACACTCCTTCCATTTTGGCCTTCTGGGGTCCAGCTGCTTCTGTCTTGCTCCTGGAGTTTCAGGGTGCCCATAACACACACACACACACACACACACACACCGGTGCTTTTGGCTGGTGAGAGCAGATTCTTCTTTGGGTAGCAACAGCTGAATAGGAGACCAATCGGGGTCAGATGCTTGTGTGGGCTGCAGTGTGCTTCTGCCCCCACAGCACACTGCAGCCTCCAGAGATTCTTCTCCCCACTTCCGGGCTCCCACTGCACCCCAGCCCTGCTCCCAAGGAGGCTGGGCCTTGCTGAGAAGAGGGAAATTCCTAAGGGAGCCCTTAGTTACACAACAGAACCTCTCTGGAAAATATCGGCTTCCACCCGGCGGGTGCCTCCTATCTACCTACGACTCCCCTGAATTAACAGGCAGCTGAAACCCTCGGCCAGCCAACCCATGACGGCTGAACGGGTCACGTGGCTTGAGCCCCATCCAAGGCTAAGACAGAAAGGAGGACTTTGTCGAGCTTGCAAGAAGTGAGGGCACTGTGGCCTAGTGCCAGCCTAAAGCCAGGGGAGGTCTTGGAGGGGGGATGTCCTCTGGGGCATTTGCCAAGGAAGGAGCAACACCTCAACATCTCACAGCCATCTGGTTCCAACAAGGGACAATTGAGTTTCCCCCTAACTCCCAGAGGGACTCTGGAAGGAGACGGGTTCAAGCTGTGTTTGTGTGCGTTTGTGTGTGTGTAGTGGGAGGGGGATTCTGTTTGGTTGCCATGGCTGAATCCCCATTTTCCACCGCTAGCAAGGAGACTCTGACGATACTGTGAAAATTCCTCCACTAACCATGGTCTGTGAACATTTGGCGTTCTTCTGGGTTTCCCCACAACATCCTTGTTGAGCGGACCATCAGGTTGACATGGGCTTCCCTAGCACCCCTTAGAGCCCCTTTATGGGAAAGATAGGCGGTTAAGAAATTCAATGAATCAAACAAATAAATTAAATAAATAAATAAACCGATAAACAAACCAATAATTTTCCAGCCCATTTGTCCTGAAGAGGAAGGCCTCCCCTGAGGGACCAGGGGCTGGGGAAGCTCCTGTTAAGCCAGGATGTAGTAACTCCATCTGGGACCACTGCAAAATTAATCAGGGAGCAGTTCAGAGAGCACAAGTTGATTCGGTCTTGGATTCTTACACCAGGATCACTTGCCCAACGCAACATGGGTAGGCAGCAGCTCCTGTGCTTAGGGCCTGAGGCCAAAGGGACGCGAGAGGCTCTCAGACCAGACAGGAAATACGACCAACTAAGCGAATGCTACTTTCTTGTAAAGCTGCAATAATTGTTTATATCTCCACCCCGCGTCAGTTCAATGAAGCGGTGGATGTGATGTGCCAGTACCTGGAGGCTGTGAGGGTCTGGATGGGAGTCAACAGGTCTCCTCAGTCACTCATGCCCTTGTCACCTCACGGTTAGATTATTGCAACGCGCTCTACATGGGGCTACCCCTGAAGAGTGTTCGGAGACTACTGTTGGTCCAGATTGCAGCTGTGCGAGCTGTTGTGGGTGCACCTAGATACACCCACATTACACCAATTCTCCGTGAGCTGCACTGGCTCCCTATTGGTCTCCGGGCACAATTCAAGGTGTTGGTTATTACCTTTAAAGCCCTACATGGCTCAGGGCCAGGCTATCTTCAAAACCGCTCCCAGCGACTGGTAAGATCCCACAGAGTTGGTCTCCTCCGGGTCCCGTCAGCTAAACAATGCCGGCTGCAGGGGAGGGCCTTCTCTGTGGCTGCCCCAGCTCTCTGGAACCAGTTACCTCCTGAGATCCAGACTACCCCCACCCTATTGGCCTTCCAGAAAGCGGTTAAGACCTGGCTTTTCCAGCAGGCTTGGGGCCGTTGATCTCACTGTTGCAATCTTGCAAGATCCAGCCATGAATGATGTGCATGGGCTTTTAATGTTTTTATAATGTTTTTAATAATTTTTCTATGTTCATTGTTCGCATTATTTTTGCTGTAAGCCACCCAGAGTCCCTTGGGAGTTGGGCGGCATAGAAATGTGATAAATTAAATTAAATTAAACTGAATCCCACAAGTCCAAAAGTCCAGTTCCTCCACTCTACAGCTGGGGAGTTTGGGGTCTTTCCTCAGCCTCTTCCTCCTCCTTTCAGGGTGCAGCTAAAGCTTTGTTCTCTCTTAACCGCCCCTTCCCGTCTTTCCCTCCACAAGTTCTTTCTCACCAGTTTTTAGGCCCAAACTTTGAGAAGGCCGTGGGACAGACTTGGCCAGACCAGTCCTGCCTATCAGGCCTCTTTTTCCTGACCAATCAGACAATCTGGGGAGCTTGAATGGCCCTCTCCCAATAGCAGCGGCTCCCTAGGGCTTCTGGGGGTTCAGGGGAGATCTGAGTCGTGGTAAGCTGCAGCTTTCGAAAGTCTCCAGGAAAATGGCATTATTCTGGCAATGTAAGAAAACTCTTAGGAGTCCCTGGGCCAGCTGGGTCTAGGTAATCTCCACGGCCTCAGGAGCCTCCCTTCAGCATTAGTTTCTGGATCAGTTTGGTGGATGCAATGAGTTACCCCAAAAGAGGCAACAGACTTTTTCTGGAGGGAAAGTGCTTGGTCTCCCCTTGCTTGCTGAGGAGCTGGCAACTGGGTTCCAGTTGAGCAGGTGGGCAGGTAGGGGCAGTGCCAGTTGACCAAGCAAATGCTTGATCTTCCCCAGCTGGAGAGAAGGGTTTGTTGCCCATCCATTTTCTGACCTCCATCAGCAGTCCTGGACCAGCAAGCCAAGAACCCCCCACCTCCGCCTGCTCTCCAGAAGGGCCCCTGCCTGGGGATGTGACAGGCCCTGCCAGGGCAGCCTGCCTCTTCCTCTCCTCACCATGCACTCTGGAGGTTGCTGCTATCATAGGCTTCCACTGGGAAGCCTTCGGCCACCAGAAGGGCAAAGGCCTCTGCCATCATCACTCCGGGCACTACTCCAGCCAGACTCTCCACACACACACCCCGTGCCCTGGGGCTTGACAGGACTCCTCAAATGGGCAAGCAGGGAGGGGCCTGCCCTGCTTCAGGATACCAAAGATTCCTGTGAGCTTCCCCTACAGAGACTCCCCTCCCCCTCCCCCCAGGTTCTGTGGTGGGTCAGGCCAATGATCAGAGGCTGCAGGAGTGGGCCCAGGTGGGACTGCTTCTGAGACAGGGAGGTTTAATGGGGGGGGCAGGGATTTGAAGGGTCAAGGCAGGGGGTCTCGCAATCAAAGGTGGGGGGTATCTTCCAGTTCACTGTCCTGGACAAGAGCAGAGAGACAGTAGTTAAGCAGGGATGGGTCAGTTTGACGGGCCAAATCCCTAGTGCGGTGCGGGACGCTCGGCAAGAAGGGAGGTGAGGGAAAAATCGTCT